TCCCTTGGGTTCCTAGTGGAACATACGGCTTCAACTGCACGTCTCCACATGCTTCTGTCTTCCTTCTGCTGTACTTTTCACCTGCATCCATCCATGTTAGTCCATACTGTTAGTCCATACTTCTCTTCACGCCATCTCCTCCATGTCACCCTTGCACTGACGTCCCACTCGCCACTTGCTTCCCTTTCGGCCTGGTTCCACTCGAGCAATGGCCTGACGCGCGCGTGATGTCACCCAGTGGCGGCCGCCTCAGCCAGGAGTGTCCAATCCATCCATCTCCACTTTCTCCTGCATATTTCTTGGTTGGCGGTTGGTTTGTTCTTGTTTTGTTTGTTTGTTCCCAGCCATAGTTTCTTGTTGGTGATTGTTTCCACCCCGGCCATCTGATCTTCAGTATAGATCCAGCGAAGACAGTTGCTGGTTAATAAAGGTCTGCATCGCAACAGGCTGTTGGAAATATTTTTTGTGATCCACCCGCCAAGTTTCTGATCCGTATAGGAGAGCTGAATGACTTGATCACATTTGTATTGAAAATCCGACTGAATTTTGTTGTTGATGCTGAGTGACGAAGATTTAAGATAAGGAAAATGGTGGATATTATTTCTAGTTACGGTCCTACTTCGTTGTTTTTATCAAATTTACCCTAAGTTGTTCATACTAATAGTTGTTAGAAATTGGCCAGTGTATAAGTTTCAACAGTAGATGATTGTAGGAAGGTCAATCTTGAAAAAAAACATATTTCACAAACTACAATAGGATTAATTTAATTGACCTTATTATTTCCATAAATAGGTGAGGATTTTCAAGGGTCTATCAAAATAAAAGTAAGTGCTTCATTTGAGTAGCATCTCTGTCAAATCTCATTCCCTATGCAAATCGAAGGAAATATGACTAAAAACCCAATAGTCAGTATAACTATGTGAAAAGCTATTCGATTCGGGTTTTAGGTAGATAGGGTTTGTCGTGTAAGTAAATATACCCGATTGGCTAGAGTTTTATAAACTGAAATATAAATTTTCAGGAGTTGATTTATTTTCACGAGTATGACTACGGATTGATAACATTTACAGAACCACTGAAAATAAGGGAGGATTGCACAGCTGCTGGTGATGCCCAGACTAGAATAAAACAGCTGTTCAGTACTCCTTAGATTTTAATAGTAGCATAGTTCTATAAACAGGCAGCACACATAAGGATATCAAAGTTAGCAGCAAGAAAAAGCAAGACAAGTGTTCATCACTCTGTTACCAGTAACGCAAGCCAACAGTACTAAGAAAAGTACTAAGAGTATGCGAAATCATAACACTAATGTCGAGTCAGTGCTACTGTAAAAACAGAAGACAAGGGCCAGGAAACAGATCGTTTATTAAGACAATCAATGCATATTTATAGATTTTCGTGTACATATTATAGATTATTGTTAGCAGAAAAACACAGTCGTCTTCTGATTGGTTGTTTCTCACAGAAAGTTAACCTTGCATCTCTTTGTGGCTGTTTCTTGAATGTCAGATCATCTATATGTTAACTGTATCCGCCTACGCAAAGCCTTTGTTCTCATTTTTCTCACGACCAATATTGAGGACATAAACATTGACGTAAATTACTATCCACCAATTTTGATTAACAGCCAGCTCTCATCATCACTACTACATGGTTCAGAGACTTACCGTGAGCCACAGTAAGCACTTCCAACAAGCTATAGACTTTGGTCAACACTGGCCTTCTCTGTTTTTATACTGTAGATCATATGGCTGGAAATGATCTCTGGCATCAGTCCCGTCAACAACTTATTACTCAACACACATATGCAGAATGAGATAGAGATCTGCTGGAATTACTCTGAGGAGAAATTCAGATGATATCCTAAATGACACAGTCCCTCATATAAAGCCCTAATTAAAAGTCACCAGTTAAGTGTCTGTAGATGATATGGAGAAGATCATGCGATGAAAAAATCAAAGGATATGGCCACTTGTGACATTAGTCGAAGGTGACCACAAAACAAACGACTGGAATGAAGCCTAATTTTCCATTCGGAACCCAAGGAATAATTAGGAAAATAACAATTTCAATCAGGTTTATTTTTGTATTATTTTTCTTAAGGTTTAGCGACTTGAAATCATGTACCGTTTGACGACGTTGTACTGGTGTCTGCTGGTCAACACCACTAACAGATTCCAAAGAGAAATAAAATTTATACTACTTGGCTAGGGGATATAAAGTTACTAATAAGAGCTGATCATTAGTGCAGATTCAGCTGGGTTTATTAAATCAGCCCTAGATTGGTTGTTGTTCTCACCAATAGAAAAATAGTTTTACTCATAGGAAAATATTAAATATTATTCCCTTGAGTAGGATTTAGGACAATAAATTTAAGCGAGCAGTATTATCCTTTCACTTAGATCTCAGCAGGCTTAACTCTGTTGTACATAAATACAAATAAATATTCAAATATAAATCAGCCACAGTGTTTTGTCAATAAGGGGATGGTGGAGACGTCATCAGTTGGTAAGGTCTTAATAGGTCAAGTAAGGGATAACGGCTGTAAGAATATTTATTGAATGCATGGTTTAGGCTTGATAGTTCAAATGGTGACCACCTCAGCTGTGCGTGCAGTAGGCGAATATGAAGTCTACTGAAAAGATCTGGTGGGATGTGATGAATCACTCTGAATGCTTCCGTCTTCTGTACTAAATGTGACAATATGGGGCTATGGATTGGTTTAATCTGTTCTTCGCTGAAGCACGATTATAGGAGATGTTCAGTAACACGTTGGCTAAGCTGTCTAGTGGTACGCCCAACACAATTGTCACAGCAGGAGTAGTTGAATTGATAAACACATAAAGATGTGGCAAAACTATCTACCTCATCTTTCGTTTGAATCCTAATCATTCGTCGGCTAGAGAATAACAAACGTAGGTGTGCTACGTAAAACGTTCTTTGTATACTCCCGGAAAGTCTCACTTGATAATTCACCATTAAATTGTAACTTAATAAATAGAGGCTTTTAACGTGCAATCATAGTCTCCGGTTTTCTCTCCAGTATCTTCATATGTTTCTTTATGAAACTGCTTGGATAGTCCATCTCCATCAAGGAATCATGAATATAAATTCAAATTCTTTTTGTAAGTCATCATGTGTAGATATCTTTCTTGCTCGCCTCGCAAGACACTTAACAAAATTTCTGTTATGTTTATTGAGTACGTAACTAAGGAAGTGTGTGTATTCCCCTGTGAGTATGTTTTTTTATATACCTACTTCTCCCAAGTGAGCCATCTTTTCACCTACTTAGCAAGACATCCGGATAATGCAGTTTATTATCCTGCTTCTGTACGCAAGTGAAAGTTAGGGTTGAATGTTCCTAAATTTCGTTATTAACTAAAATAAATTGTATCATCGGCAAAAAAACAGCAATACATATCCAACTGATTGTTGACGTTTTTCAATCTCCCGTTTTCATAGAAAAAATATATTACTCAGACTCTGATACGTAAGTGTTTTCATAATCAATTGACAAGAATCATTTTTACATGGCTATTATTATTATTATTTATGTGCGTCGGCGGCACAGGGGTTAGGACGCTCGCCGACCACGCATATGGTCTGGGTTCCGACCCCCGGCCGACGCACTCCTTTACTCCGCTAAGCCAGAAATGATGCTGGTAAGGAGGAAAGGTTGAGCATGAGGCTAGCAACCTCATCCTGTAAAATTAAAAACACTGCCACAGAAACTTCAAGCCACTGGCTTGAAGCCCTGTTGTATTCCACTGGGAACGTGAAGGGAAAAAAATTATTATCTATGAATTTTGGATGATTGGATTCAAAGTGTTAACTACGCCTGTTCATCACTGAATAAATTGATCTTCTCCTATATTTTTAAAAATGCTTCTTATTATTCTTTCTTAATTAGTGTCAGATAAAAATACAGATAAAATTAATAGATTATAAAGTGTGTGTCACCTACTGATAACCTGACGCGGAAGTTGCCTTAGATCTTGTAGCTTACTCCAATGCAGATTATATAAGAAATTAGACGAAGAACATCATGATAGTATGACAGATATTGAATGAGAAGTTATCCAATAACTGTTTGCACTTCCATGCCCTCGACGATGAACCACATCTGTATTATGGAGCCTCATCTCCAAAATCATGTCAGATAGAGACCGGTTCGAACAGGTAAGCCACTAGTTGGAAGTTGAACGCCTGGACCAATGAGATCCGGCTTCGTATAGTAATAAAGTAAGATAGGGAAATACAGGATTTCATTATGAGCTGATATTAGTTTGAGAACCACTGGAAAACCACCAGAGAGTACTGAACAGCTGTTAACAAGCTCATTTGGGACTCTTCAGGTGTACGTGACCTCCAAGGTTCAAACTCAAGACCTTCAGGTAAGACGACGAGCTCGTAGACCATTTGGCCACTGAGACCCGACCGAATGATCAACCTATGAGTCCCAGCTTCTGTCAATTTACGGTACAACACTACCACCAACCAGTATCATCCGTGGCGAGTATTCGTTCTCGCACCCGACCTGCTGTACCTCACTGGGCACAACTTCCCACTAGAATCCACGTAACTACCCACCTGTATAGGGCAGTCACTAGTGGGTATCCCAATGATATTCATGTGTTAATTTGCGGGAATTTGATTAGTTACAGCGTTTCGTCATGAGCTAACATCGGTCAGAGTATCATTGGAAACCATTATAGAGTATCGCCAGACAACTGTTTCTAAGCCTCTCTGGGACTCTTCACAGTACGCACTCAGAAAAAGGCCTCGAACACAGGACCCTAGTAGGGTACAACAGTTCAGATGTTACACGGAAGGTCCTGTGTTCAGACCTTATCGGTGGGTGTGTACTGATGAAGAGTCCAGAACCAGGACGAAATTGCTGTCTGACAGTACTTTCTGCTTGAATAAGTAAATACAGCTGTGATTAAGAGAATATGTATTGTTTCCACTTATTTCTATTCATGTTTTGTTTGTTTTTTTAGGTATCGATGAAATTCAATTGGTGCTGGATCCACAAAGTTATGATTATTTAGTTCCAAATCAAGGATTTATTGGTTTTCGTATTTTATTACACGGATATGGCGATTCATTATGGGCACAAATACCAACTGCTGTTTACGCTGGTCCAACATTTCATACTATGCTACGCACAGTTGGTCTTAAGAAGGTTAGTAAATCAATGATGCAATGACAGTTAGGCTTTTAACTTCTTAATTAATGAATTTTATAATTTCGATAATTGCTATTCAGATCTTGGCTTGTTTTTTTCTAATAATAAATTCCCAGTGAACAGTTAAATTAATAAATGTTCTTCAACACTAGGGCGTACAATGCCCAAATCTTTATCAACCTTATTCAATACCTATGTGACAATGCCGTGTGTCAGTTGATCCACAACGAAAAACTCAGCGAAGCCTTTGAAGTTAATACAGGGGTAAGACAAGACTGCCTGCCTATTTTTCTTTAGTGATATTCTTAATTGTAGTGGACTAGATTATGCGTCAGACTGTGCATTAAGAATAAGAAGGCAGCAACACATTGAATCGATCAGAAAACTCTAAAAGATCTAGATTTCGAAGATGATATATGTCTGATGTCATAAAAACTCGAAGACTTACAGGCGAAAATGAATAAAAAACTGCCTAAAGAGACAGTGAAAACAGGACTGCAGGTGAACACAGAGAAGATAACCAACGAACCACAACAGAAACCAGCACGAATCATCATCAACGGGAGAGATTTAACAGAGGTTACCCCCTTCACTTATCTGCGAAGCATCATTTCAACTACAACAGGTGGACATCGCGGATGAACATGTGAAAGTCAGCCAGAATTGGAACGGCAAGATGCGCTTTTGTTAACCTGAAACCAGTTTGGAAATCTTCTGCATTCCACGGCATAAAGAACAAGATTCAGATTTTCAGTACAAATGTGAAGTCAATCAAATGAGTCACAAAAATCATTTTCAACAGACTGCTGCAGGCTTTTGTCAACAGTCGCCTTTACTGGCTATTACAGTGAATATATCAAATGGCCAACCAGAAAGAATTAATCACAAGAAACTCTGTCTGGGAATCAACCAAAACCAAAAGTCCACCACTCAACAAATATGTAGGAGAAAATGGAGAAAGATCGGGCATACAATGAGGAGGCCAGCGAATGTCATCAAATGGAATCAATCCCAATTGGAAGCAACGAGTGGGTCTTCGGTGTGAGAGTGACACGAAGGAGATCGTATGGAGAGGAAGAGATGAAAGATTATGGACAATCGTCGACCTAGCTAAATAGGACAACAGAAAATAGAAGAAAGGGGAGATGTGTTTTTTTCTGAAGCCATATGTTCCATAGGAACCCAAGTGAATAATAACAATAACAATAATAATAATATAATAATTGGATATTTGAAGAACAGTAGGAGAGATCGTTGTATCAATCTATGGATGGAAATTGTGACTTTTTATCATACAAAACGAAGCAGTAAGTGCGTTAATGTTTTGTAGTCTCTAGCATACAAGTATAAAACTTGTGCACTATGGTACAGTATAACTCCATTATGGATAAGGTATTATTTTGATAAATCACACAGTGTGTTATGCAGTAATATTTCCTGATGACTAGGTTTCGAGCACAAATTACTGCCACTCATAATCAATCAAATCAAGTTACTCACTCACACAACTTTTTCCTTCATTCATATACATGTGTGGAGTTGACCAGATATTTAAATAAAAATCAATATGGATAATGAACATTCAGAAATAATAATATGAGTGTTATAGATCAATTACAATCAGATGGAAAATAAGACGAGTGTTTTTATAGTTATATTAATAAGTTACTTGTTAGAATGTTGTGATGTGTTTGAATTGAAATAGAATTTTGAGATTATTTATTATGCTCCTCTGATTTCACTGACTGACTGGTGGTAATAATATCTTCCATACATATCTCTGGTATTTGTATGGAGTTACTTCTGCTTTGTATATGTTGTATTGGGAGTAGACTCGATGAACCAGTCAGGATTCAGTAATCAATCTCTCTCTCCACCTACATAGATTACTTCTTAGAATTTTAACCCTCTCCCACCCAACCTATTGTGTGGTTGTGTGTTAATGCATGCAGTACAATGCAGCGCTGACCTTTTTTCTAAATTACTCATCCTCTCAGGGTCAACCATCCTTACCTTAGCTAAATTTTTATGTTCCGACAATCTGTTTACCCTCGATCTACTAGTTTGATCTATATAGTTCACTTAACTCACAGTCATTGCAGAGTATTTTGTAAATTATTTAATTTTGTCTAGTTGGGTACACCAGGTTTTTTAACCTACAGAGCTTGTCCTGTCTGAGTGAGTTTTTAGGTTTGAATGCCACCCTCATTCCTGCTTTATTCAGAATCCTACGTAGGGTCTCGGATGTCCTCTCCTCACGTGGTTTAACTGTAGATGACTTATATTCTCTCTTATTTATGTTATCACTACTAGTTTCACAATTTAAATTTGGTTTTTGGCCTTTTTCGATCTTCCTAATGAATTGTATAGGATAGTTATTCAACACCAACGCTTCTTCTATCTGTTTTATTTCATCATATAGGTCTTTTTTGTGCTACTTAGTGCTATGGCCCGGTTTGTTAAATACTTAATCAAGCCTGCCTTTACAGTCAGATAATGGATGAGATGAATTAAAGTCTAAATATCCATAATGAAGTAGTCACTAGCATTCATATTTCAATTTACTCCACACGCTCTTCCTAAATCTCCTAATTCATTATATACATAAAACTATTATTCCTTTGAGTTTCGAATCGATCTTAGGGCTTCACGAAAACATCTTCATTTCATATTTGTTCACTGCACTCAGGTGGACTGGAAAGTTTTTCTTCCTTACAGAATTCAAGATATTGATTATTGATTTTATCATACACTTAGAAAGAAGTGAACTTTTTTAATGACCAGCAAATGAACTGATAATAACTACCTATTGAAAAGTCAAGCAACAATTAACTGTCCTGATTTGCAGAAATTACAGGTGATGTAGCACATGGAAAAGAACAGATTCTCTTTCATTTTTAGAGGCGCTTAACTGTGGAAGTTAATGACTTGTTCTTTTTCCAATCACGGAATGTACACATGGGATCACAGGGAATAAAAAGACAGTTGCAGAAAAGAAAATTTTCTTTTCGACGAAGTCATCGTCAGCTAGGCTGTACATTCGTGCATTTATATCAAATGGATAGGAAAGTTCCAGAATAATTTCCGCTTAAGGGACAAATTAATAAAATTACAATTAAGAATTAAAATACCGTAATAAACAGGGGGAAGGGTAAAACTCAAACAAAGTAGCATCATAAGTACTGAGAAGATTGACATATTGTGAAATTACGGGGGTTAGAAATGTAGAAGTAACAAAATAGACAAGATGTTTGGATAGGAAAGACAACAGGATAGTCACGATTAAAAGAATCACCTGTTTATGAAGGTCATGGCAGGGACAAGGGCTGAACGTATTTCTTTTGGATACAAAGCGTGGGTTTTAGCATTTGGATAAGTAGAGCCTTGGCTATGCCCAAATATCTTAATTTAACTGCTTTGATATGTTTGATTGAATCTTGTATATTACTTTGAAGGAGTTTTCGAATGGTGCTGAATGTCTTGAATTAACCAGATGTTCTGTCACTGAACTTTATACACCTTTTTGTTCTCTTTTTACTAGCCAGGCTGGATAGTGTTCACGAGCGCGTTTTTAAAGTTGGCGCATAGTATGGCCGATGTACTCAGTTCCGCAAGAGCAAGTAAACTGGTGGATGCACGTTGAAGTGGCCCGATGCGACAGCTTGTCTTTCGCGTTATGGCTGAACAGTTTCTTGTAGGAAAATGTTAGCCGTAGGCTCACGGTGAAGTATGTCTTCCTCAGAGATTTGCAGAGGCGTTTAAGAAGGGTTTCTGCTTCAATATCACCTTTGAATTCTAGATTAAGCAGAAGTATCTTCTTCGGGAGGGATTGAACTTATTCGGAAGTCTTCTTTGATTTGAGACTCTTGTCTATGAACCTAGGTGGAAGACCGTTTCCCATCAGGGTTCTTCAGAGATTACTCAGTTCTTTACCAATCACCTCTTAGCTACATATCTTCCTAATCCTCGAGGAAAGAGCGTTTATCAGGTTCCTCTTTCTCCTAAAGGACAAGAAGCTTTGAAAGTTGATGAGTTGTTCAGCCCATATGGGCTTTTTGTGCATAAACTTTTTCAGAAAGTTGTTAGCTATTCTTGTCAGATGAACGTCAAGGAAGTGGAACATTCTGTCGGATTCGGCTTCAAGAGTAAAGTCGATGTTTTTTTGGTGGGCATTGTTGAATGTTTGAAGTAAGTTTTCAAGGTCCAGGTTCGCATTACCAATGATGAAAGTACCATCAATTTATCTCTTGTAGAGATGAAGGTTGTAGACAGCTGATGATAAGGGGTTGTTTTCAAAAAGGATTTTCATTAGTAAGATTTCGGCTTTCTATCACTACATTCTTTCGGTTGTTCCTCTTAAAATGATATTTCAATGATAATTTTGTCACCGATCAATTTCAGTTAGAAGATCATTAAAAACCATGTGGCACTTGACATCATTTTCGTCCTAGTTGACGACTATTCAGTGTTTCGCAACCACTGAGTTGCCAGGTGTTGTAGTCGGAATCTTCAGGATACGTAGCCAACTGCATGATAGAGATTTATAAGCCCTTGTTGTTTATTAAGGTTAACGTTTAATGGTAACGAATTGATGGAATTTGAATTCACCAGTCACTGAATTCTGATGAGGTTGTTGATTGTTCAATGAGCTGGACTTGTAGCCTGAAGGCCGTGGGTTCGATCCCTAATAGGATCGTGGATGCTCACTGTTGAAGCGTCCTAACCTCAGACAAAAAGAGTATCCGCCACTCCTTCGACTTTGTTGGTTCTCTAGGCGATTTTTATTCACGGTAAAATCTTCGCTGAAATTAGTCGAAATCCATACAGATTGTCCACTCTAAATTAAAAGGGTATACTTGATTGAGATTTCTCCTCTTTGGGGAAATGCAATGTATGATCCCGGCAGCTGAAAAGACGTAGTATCCTCTCTTAATCAATGGTATCCTTAGACATTATAAATCTCTACTCTACTCAAACTCTCCGGTTATTTCAACCCA